TGTATCGTGGGGAAGGGGCATCTTTAAAGCACAAGACATTCGTTCCTAAGCATCTGTCACAAGGCCTGGGTCGGGCCGGGGATTTAGCTCAGTGGTTCTGACGCCTGCCTTGAAAGCACAAGGACCTGAGTCGAATCCCTAGTACCAAAAACAAAGAAAATCCAAAAGGCCTGGGTCAATAGCTGGTCCCCAGTGTTCACAGCAGCATTATTCACAGATGCACAAAGTATCCTGGCAACAACCTACGTGACCATCGCTGAAAGGATGGGTTAAGAGAACATGGTGGGCAGGCTGGTGGTACACACCTGTAATCCCAGCATTTGGAAGGCTGGGGCAGGACGACTGCTGTGAGTTCAAGGCCAACCTGAACTATATAGCAAAACCCTACCTGAAAAAAAATGTAAATATACAATGGAATATTGTTCAGCCTCAGAAAGGAAATTCAGATGCATGCTACAACACGGTGGAACTGGCAAACATCATGCAACATGACATAAGCCAGATGCTGAAGGACAGATGCTGTGTGACTCCACATACCCGGGGCACCTAGAATGGACACATTCAGGGAGCCGAGGAGCAGCCGCGCAGCTGCCTTGGTGGAGGAGGGGACGGGCATGTGAACGGGCACAGAGCTTACACTGGGGATGGTGACAGAGTGTTGGACAGAGGCCGCTGGGATGGCCGCACCACTCTGTGACTGTGTTTATTGCTCCCGAACTGTACACTCATGAGGGGCTAAAATAAGCATTAGAGTGTGAATATTTTACCACAAGAAAAAAATTTACAAGCAGAACTTCAAGTGCTGCAATGAATGAATGAATGAATTTGAGAAAGACCCTCCCCGATCCCGACCCAGACCCGCCCGGAGCACACGGTAGTAAAGGCAGCAAACGAAGCTGTACTGGGGTGGGGACAGTGTCTGCGGCGATCTCTTCTCCTGGACCTTGCCTTCCCCGACTGAAGCCAAAGCAACTGCCTACGCCCTGGCCACCCTCGAAGCGGCTAACCCTAACCTGCGAACCGGCAGGACTGGGGCGAATCACACCGCAGCTGGCAGCCTGGAGAAGCTCCTGGCCCGCCAGTCGGCTTGCAGGCCTGGGACCAGGCTCGGGCTGCAGACGTGAAGGCCAGTGCGCCAAGGCCTCCTGTGTCCAACCTACAGTCACCCCTTTCTTCCTGGAGTGGAGCCAAGAGTGGGGTGTGGGGGACACCCTGAGGTCCCCAGGAAAAGCACACGGCCGGCTTTGAATCCCAGCTCCAAGGGTCCCTGGGAGCCTGTCCCCGGCCTGCGACAGGGGGAGACTGCCATCCCAGGGCCGCAGCGAGGACCAGGTGAGACAACCCATCGTGCAGTAGATGCCCAGGACTGCTGGAATCTGTTACTTCACCCAGCCTTCCCTTGGCATCGGTGCCCAGCCTGGCAGGAAGCAGGCTTGGATCGATTGCCCCACAAAACCCTCAGGGAGCAGTGAGGCCGCCAAGCGTGGGGTACACCTTTCTAAGCAAACCTGAGAATAAACGCAACCACCACCCCACCAAACTGCCACACGTGCGGGTGACAAAAGCAGGCAAAAGGGAATGTCCAATGGCTTCTTTTGGCTTAAGAACACGCAAATAAAAAACCCAGTGGCAAAGAAACCAGCCTGGCAAAACTTCCTGCCCACTTCAGAATTGCCCACGGATTCCCCTCTCTGGTCATTTAAGGATTTCACTCCAGGGAGTGGTCACAGATTGGTGCCAGCCAGTTTCAGAAGAGCGAAAGTGAACAAGGAAAATCATTTTGGGGTCCTTTATATGTCAGCAACCCACCTGGCCTTGTTAAAGTCGTGGGGAAGCCAGGTGTGGTGGGGCACACACCTGCAATCCTGGCACTCAGGAGGCTGAGGCAGGAGGATCCCCTCAAGCTCAAGGCCAGCCTGGGCTACACAGCGAGACCCTGTTTCCAAAAGACAGAAAATAAAGACAATGTTGTTGGGACCCAGGAGGGAGAAGCACATTAGAACTGTGCCTGCGGTCCACCTCCAAGAGGACACTCTCTCACTGCAGCTCAACAGCCAGGGGGCTCCATAACAGACTCAATAAAAATGCCAACATTTCACAACTTGTTGGATCCATAATTCTGAGCCAAATTCTAGGCAATCAAAGGTAAAACTGGCCATGACCTACTTGGATATTTTCTGTGCGTAGTTTCTCATGCTTCATGTCCTCGCATCCTTGACCATCAAGAAAGAGTCTGTAGTCATCCTGCCCCTGCCTGACAGGCCAGGTTGCCCAGGTCACCAAGGTTGTATGTCTGGAAGCCACTCGTGCACTGAGCGGCCAGCGGCACCTGCCAGGCCCACAGGACAGCACTTCCGTGGCCACAGCACTCAGCAGTGATGCGCTCCGCCCGACCACGCTGAGAACCCTTTGAAATCTGAAAACAAACATTCTAGAGCCCAGAAGGGCCAACCTTGAAACTCCAGACTAGGATAAGAGGAAAAATATTTCACTATAACCAAGAAGACTAAACACAGCTCAGGCAAGCACAAAAGCGTGCGCAGATAGACCTGCTTCCTTCCCCACAGGCATGGGGCCCCGATGGAGCTTTGATTCCCCACCCCCATGAAGTTTTTGGCTTTCGCACCTTCACTTCTGTGTGGAGTTCGGTTTCCTGCCTCTGGAGTGTCACAGCCCCTAGGCAGGGTTTCCAAACCTTGGCGGTCCCCAAGAATGCCCAAATTATAGATGCTACAGAAAACAGGAAGTGTCTCCCCATTTTGCCAACAAAAGAATCTACAGCTTTCGGCAAACGCAAAAGGAATGAGTTGCTCGCTAACGTCTATACCGGGCGGCCCAGGACACCCAAGAGTGGGAGGCTTTGTTATTGGGATCTGCTGGAACCGACTGACAGACAGACAGACACACTGCTCAGCGGCCAGACACAAGGGTGGAAATGAGACCGGGAGTGAAGGGAAAAACGAATCACTTCCCAAAGCTGGTCACGTGGAAGATAAATGGGCCAAAATGTAAGCGAGCGGGACTGAGGAGAGGTTAAAAGGCGACAGTTACACCACCAGTCCCCGGGGCCTCCCAGAAAGGGTGAGAAAGAAAACTGGCCTGGTGCAGAGCACTTGCCGGGCACACAGGAGGCCCCGGGTTCGATCCCCAGCACGGAGTGGGGATAGGAGGAGCCTCTGTCCAGGAAGACAGCCAGCACCTTTTGTTTAGATACAGACTTTCAACCTGAGTCAGGCCCCCTGGCCCCTGCAGGCTTCCCTGAGGGTCACTTAACTCCTCTGGGCCTCGGGCTTCTACTACAGCCTGCAAGGGAGAAGAGGCTAAACCCCAACAGCTTTCACTCTGCACGCCTACAATGATTAGTACTGGCTGCCTCAGGGCTCCCTGAGAAGATTGATAATGTGAGGATCGATTAGCAATGTCTATCATGGCCCAAGCCAGGAGAGTGGCAGCGTGCGTGTCATGTATTTGCCATTCCAGAACTAGATGACTTGCAGGTTCTCTTTCAACTCTGGCCAGCTCTGATTCTAATTATATAAATACGAAATGGGGGAGGGGCAAATGGAAAACAGACAACATTTTCCAACATGGGCCATAGCTGAATTTGGCCAAGCCGAAACTGGCCTCCCAGCCAGTGCGGCTTTTTGCCATATGGGAGGAAGTGGAAAACATCAGATCTGCTGTCGTAGACCCAGCAAGACACCCAAGCCATGCCAGAGGTTGCAAAAGTCTGAATCTTGCCTGGCCTGGCCCTGGTTGTGACACACCTCATCAGTAAGCACACAAACCACACAGGGGATGCCATGTGGATTCAACCCAGGCTGGACTTCTTGCCCAAACTGAGCCTTGGTGATGATGTCACCTCTCTGAGCCTCAGTTTCCCGCAACCTAGGGTTGTCATAACGACAGCGTTCACAGCAAGCCCACAGTGACAGTGCAAATAAAGGACCACTGAGCCTGCCCTTGTCACCACCATCACCTCTACTTTTGTTTGAAGGGACCGAATGTTCCAGAAAGAGTCCAAGGTGAGAGAGCCATTGCTTTTTCCCACACCAGCACTGTGCCCATGGGTGATCATGTGCTCTTGTGGAAAGGGGACTCCCGGTGTCAGCCAGGGTCCTGGGAGGAAGTGGGGCGTGGACACAAAGTGGTGTGACCAGAGGAAATTCCAGCAAGAGGTGTTTCCTCCACCTAGAGTGACCCCTGCTCCCCCCTGCCGGTTTCCCGAGATGCAAGACTTTGAATGCCGAGAGCCTGGGTGGCCCCAGGCAAACCAGGGCAGCTGGCCACCCTGTTTTCATCTGGTCACAGAAACCTGGCTGAGGGGCATGGCGGCCACCCTGAAGTGGAAACCAGGGAACAAGCCTCACACCCGCACCTCCTCCCCACCTCCCTCAGCTCTCTGCAGGCCGGGCGTCTGGAGGCTTCGGATGCCGGCTGCGCAGTCAGATCCTTGGGCACCAGGAATGGAGAAGTAGGGACAGGGACCCAGGTCCACCCTGCAGCAGCCAGGCACCAGCTCTCAGAAGGCCCTGGAGTCCTCACCAACAGGAAGGAAAAGGAAAGAAAGGATGTCCCTCCCTGCAGGAAGAGGACACAGGGATGTGGCCAGAGCCCTGGACTCGATTTGCACCATGCAAACGTGAGCCTGGCAAGGCCTGGAGGAAGAAGCCCCTTGGCCCTGGTGGCAGTGTAGACAAAGTGAGCCCCGAGACTATGAGAAAGGTCCAGAGGATCCAATGAGTTGCCCCTGGAAGAGGAAAATGGCTTCCTGGGCTCCAGCTAGAGCTGGTGCCATAGCAGGTGCTGGCTGGGGAAACCCAGGCAGAAACGTCCCCCGCCAGGGGTCCCTGAAGCCGATGCGGGTGTGGCCAGGAGCACATGAGGGGGTTTTTCCTAGCACTGTGCTAGACCGAGGCCGCCGCTCAGCTCCAGCCATGTGTCAGGGGCAATATCATTGAGAAAATAAAAGCAACTTTCAATTCTGTTTTTAAATCATATTTTCCAAGATCAAAATTTTATTTCCCAAGCCCTGCTGCCGAGAACTGAGGTAAAAGCCACAATGACATCGCAATGCTCCCAGCACAGCTCCATCCTATTCCAGGCTGGGACCAGGATGCTGCCCGGGGCCCAGCACCGGGTCCCAGGACTGTCCCTTGACCTGGTCAAAGGTCTGAAGAAAACCGGACGACTTTTCTGTCCCTTCACAGCCTGGGACAGGGACAGGGACAGGGACACTTGCCCAGCAAGCACACTCCTGGGAAGGCCTGTGGGAGGGATGGGGGACCCGGGATGAGTTCACGATCCCACAGGAAGCAGGCACGGGGTGGGTGACCCTGATAGGGCAGAGCGGGTGCTGGGACAGCAACGGCAGTGCTGGTGACAGTCGGCATGCACACTCACTGAGCACTCCCAGGCTTCGTCACCTCCATCCTCGGACCACCTGCAAGAGGGTCCTCCTCTCTGATCTACAGGAAACAGCTGGATCCACCACCGGTCACACACAAAAGGCCCGAGTCCAAATCAAACTGGCCGACAAGTGTCCCCTTCGAGGAAGCAATGAGCTAGCAGGCAGGGTCTTCAACCCTCACCCAACATCCCCCCAGTGCATCCTGAGAACCAGCATGATGTGACCCACGGGGACACCTCTTCCGGAAGGCACCCGGAATGGCCAGCCAGCAGGGCTCCGGGGCTGAGGGCCTAGCCATGCACCCCCTACACTGCTGCCTGGCCCGAGATCCCCACCCTCTACAGAGCTGCTGGCAGGACCCCAAACAACTCCAAACCTTGCTTTTGGTGTCTTTTTGGGAGTTGTGTTTCAATTAGCTCCAAACAGCAGAGGGACCCTTTGCATGGCCTTGTGTAGGTACAGCAGTTGAAGATCTTTCTAGAAGAGCCAGGAAACCAGTCCAGCGCCCCCCAAAACCGGCCCCCATTCAGTCAGGATGTGGGGGGTGGGATCTGGGCACTTTCCTTACACCCAAACTTCCTCACGCTAGCTTCTCCTTCTCTTTTCTCCTGCATGTTGCAATTCCCTCTTCAACAACCCAGATCTCTGAGGTCCTGAGTCACCAGGGCAAAGGCAGGGATGGCAGGGGCGTCACTGGGATGATTCAAAGGTGGGGGGCACTTGAGAAAGCCCGAGACAGCCAGGATTTTCTTCCCAGCCCCACAGCACCAAGGAAAGGGGCTGACTCTGCAGCCCCACTGTTCCTCTGGACTCTCAGGGACAGTGCTGAAGGAACAAGATGACTTGGGAGCACCGTCCTGGCAGCTAGGAGGTCAGTGACTCTAGGATGCATGGGACGACCTGCCTTGGCAGTGAGTATCAAGACAGCATCCTTTCCCAGAGCACCATGGGAAATCAGTGAGTGTCAAGACAGCATCCCCTCCCAGGGCATCATGGGAAATCAGTGAGTGTCAAGACAGTACCAGGCACACAGTAGGTGCTATGTAAGTGTCAGCTGTTGCTATCATTGCCTTACTGGTCATTTGGCTCTCCTTGCCATGGCTGTGTAGTTATTGGAGTTTTGGGAGGACACTGGCTCTAGAGTCAGATTGTCTGGGTACCAGCTTTGTGACCGTCTTGAGTTCAAGCCAAGCATGGTGGCCCATGCTTGTAGTCCCAGCACTTGGAAGGCTGAGGCAGGAGGATCTCTGAGCTACACAGAGTTGAAGGCCAGCCTGAATTACATAGCAAAAACCTGTCTCAAAAAACTAAAATCAAACTAAAATTTTTTTTTAAAAAAAAAAGCTCTTGAGGTCTATTTCCCCTCTCACCTTGTGGGGTTGGTGTGGGACCTGGCATGGCTGGAGGAAATGATGGTTCCAACCTTGGGGCACCCTCTGCTCCTTCTTCGACCTGGGCCGTCTGACCTACTGGGGTCCCCACCCCCAAGAAGCCACCTCTGTCATTTTCCTGCCCCCAAAGCAAGCCTTGGTCACAGGATCAGGAAACACAAACCGGCTGGAGCAACAGCTGTCCACAGGCACTGTTCCCCTTTCCAGCGGGCAGTCCTGCCCCCAGGCCTGCCCTTCTTCCTGAGACACACAGCGGGGTCGCTCCTGCGACCCGTCCCCTGGCCACAGCGTGATGGGACCCTGTCCCGAGAGCCCAGGGCTGGGCTGGACCCCCCCCAGAGCTCGAGGAAAAGAAGACGGGAGCAGGAGGAACACAGGGGTGACCCGAGCTTCTGTGCCCCAGAGGCCAGTGGGTAAAAGCCCGGGTGTTGCCAGCAGGCGCCAGGACACCATGGTCCTGTGTGTGCCCCGTGCTAAGCAGACACACGCACACGCCCCTTCTGAGGGGCTGCGGACCGGAGCAGGGGAGGACAGGGGCACGTGTGACACGAGGGTCAGAGAGGCTCGAGGGCACGGGATGCGGCCAGGCTCTCCTGACCAGGCAACCGCAGCGGCCCTGCCTTGGTTTCCCCTGTGTAACCCCACCATCACTGCTGTGACCACGGGGGACCCGCACAGAGGAAGCATCAGCAGGCCAGGCACACACCCACTGCCCTGCCGCGCACCGAGCTGGGAGGCTGGGAGGGGGACCGCAACCGACTGCCACAAGCACAGCCCCAGGAGCGCTGCTCTGCACGCAAGCACCGGGTGGGCGGGCGTGCGCTTCACAGACACAACCCATGATGCTCGGCCTTGACCAACCCTGAGCCTTTGCCTCCCTCCCGACCGCAGGGCCCTGAATTCACCGAGCAACTTCACAGAGCAGCCTGTGCCACTCGCCCCCAAGTACACCAATGGGCACTAAGGCCCTGCCAAGACGTCTGTGCAGGGGGTGAAATCACTTGTGCACGTCCCACCGACGCCATGCACACACGCACACACATGCATCCGCACACACAAGCAAGGAGTCACACCTGGCTTTGATGCAACTCCACCACCTTCCAGTTCTCCCGGCTGAGTCTCCACGATGGCAACTGTAAAATGGGAACAGTGCTGCCTACTCCACAGACCACGCCGAGAATTAACCGAGCGCGTGCCAGGGTGCTAGGTAAACAGTGAATGTCACTGTGCCTGTGCACAACAGGTCTTCCTGCCTCCCCCCACCAGAGGAGGGCGCAAACCTCCCCAACCTGCCACCAACCTGGAGCCTGGGAGCCCCAGGAGGCTGTGCTGTTTAGATACCATTTCTAGCAAATGCCTGGAATCCCAGCACTCAGGAAGGAGGCTGAGGCAGGAGGATCATCACGAGTTTGAGGCCAGTCTGGGCTACATGGTGAGTTCAAGGTCGGCCTGAACTGCATAGTGAGGCCCTGGCTCAAAAAAGCAAAGAATAAAAAAAAAATCAGGGCCAGGGGATTTAGCTCAGTGGTTCTACCAGCTGCTTCGCAAGCATAAGGTCCTGAGTTCAATTGCCAGCACTCAAAATAAATAAATAAATAATGAATGAATAAATAAATAAATAAATAAAAGAAGAATAGAAACAGATATCCTTTCCAGGGAAACAGCTCTGCTATTGGGACCTTCTGCTGTGAGCCTGGGGCGGGAGCAGGCTTTGCTTCCTCTGTCCCCTTTCCTCCTGGACAGGGTGTTGCCACATGTCTTGGCTCTGGCCGGCCTGGGGTCACTCACCTGTGCTCCTCTCTGTCCTGCCTGTCCATCCGTCAGCCTTTCGGTAGAGGACCCAGAGGAAGGCAGCGCCATCACACAGAGAAAGGAGCCTGGGACCCAGAGGGGGTGGGATGGCACTTCCGGAGCCTCCCCCTGGCCTGTGACACAGACAGGAGCCCCCACCTGTCACCCTCACAGCCCCAGCTGCACCCCGGGCCTCTGCGCCCCGGCCCTCGGATTCACCCAGGCTGCGCAGGCAGTCAAAAACGGGCCCCCGGGGAAGGGCCCAGGACACCCAGGAAAGCCAACAGAAGGCAGGGTTTCCTCCCTCTCCCGCCTGATTCCTACAGGTCCTCCACCCAGGATGGGACGGGAGGAGCCCGCTCACCCGCTTCCCTCCAAACAGCTCGGCACCTGGGAAACAGCCTGAGCAGGCACAGAGTCGGACAAGGCCACCTGCTCACAGCCGGACGCACCCGGGACGGTCCTCAATCCCAGTATCCTTGGAGCCTAGTTACTGACCACAGGAGCTGCTTTTAGAAGTTCTGCGGGGCTTCGAAATTTAAGAGCCTCTTAAAGCACTGCTAGAAAGCTCTTCTTTACTGTGTATTGGGAAGTAGCTGGGATTTTAAAAACAGAAAAAACACGACAGAAACCACAGAATGGAAACTCGCTGGGGCAAGGAGCTGCCTGTGCCTGGCACCAGCACACCTGGATGCTCACTGAGTTCTTTAACGGGTAACATTTCTGGAGAAGAGAGGGCAGGAAACTGACTCCAGGGCACCTGGTGGGTGCCCACCCCTTTACGGGTAATTTGCTTTTCATTTTTTTTCAGTGATGAGGATCAAACCCTGGGCCTTATGCAAAGCAGGCACGCGTTCCACCACTGCACGCCAACTCTGGCCCTCACTGGGTGGTTCCTAAGTGTGATCGAGCTCCAGGGCCTTTGCACTTGTCCCTCTCCCTGGACAGCGCGTCCTCCAGGGATTCACAGGACTCCTCCCTGACCACTGTCCAGAGCAGCCACAACCTGCCTGCTCTGTTTCCAAGATCCCTATCAGTGCCTCTCGCTTTTACTTGCTACTTGTGAATGAATGAACTCCAGCCACGCGAGCTGCAAGCCTTACCACTCTTAACCTGGTCATTGCCTGAGCAGGACGCCCCTGTAATACTCACTGAACAGATGGGGGCTGTGGGGAGGGGACAGGCCCAAGGCCACCGTCTGATGTCCGACCTGTGACCTCGCCAGGCCCTCCACTGGGCCTGAGTGTCCCCTCGAGACCTCCCTGCTGCAAACTCCACACAGTGCAGGGACGGCTCCCAGGGGTGGGAACCAGTGCTGGCCCCAGAAATCTTACCTCTAAATCCCCTCTGCGTCTGTACACATACAGCAGGCTCCACCCCCTTACACGCACACATGCAAATACAGGCCCTGGTCAGGGCTCTCCCAGGGCAATCGAAACATCCTTTTAAGATCAGTCGGGCATAGCAGCACATGCCCATCATCCCAGCACTGGGGAGGCTGAGGCAGGAGGACTGCAGTGAGTTCAAGGCCAGCCTGGGCTACATAGCAAGAGACTCTCTCAGAAAACCTAACAACAATGTTGAGTTCCTAAAATGAGGGGAGAAGTGTTCTTTTTTCTGCTTTAACTGTTTGATATAATTTATCAGTTAAAATGTTTATGAGCCTGCTCTTGTCATATAGGTAGGTTTTCAAGCTAGGAATATACTTTCTTTAATAGGTGCTATTCAAATTTTATATTTCCTCCAGAGTTGGCTTCATTAATTTGTCTTCTAAGTTACTTCTTAGAAGTTGTCAAATTTATTTCAAAAAAGATTTTTGTAATATGCTTTCTATATCCTTTTAAATTCTGTAAAATCTGTGGTAATGTCTCCTAGATCTTAATATTGTAATTTAAAAAATGTATAACTGATACTGTGTAACAGGAAGAAAAGGTCTAAAAAAGCAGGGGAATTGGGAGGGGTAGGGGAAGGAAAAAAGGGAAAGGAAATAATATTAGAAGAGAAAAAAAATGGAAACAAGCTCTTTGCAAATAGGGAAGGGTGGAGGGGTGAAGGGAGGGCAAGGGAAGGGGAAAAAAATAAGAACCAAGAGACTCATGTAATGGTACAAGATCCCAATGATGAATATAACTGTATTTTATACCTAAAATGTACCAATAAAGTTAATGGGGAAAAAAAAAAAAGAAAACCTAAGAACAACAAAAACCAAGTGAGCACAGCCCCCATCCCGGCGCCTGCTGAATACACAGGAGGCCTCAGCATGGGAGTTGGGAGTGAGGAAGAGAAACTCTCACTTCCCCCTTCTCTGCCCTGGGGCTGGGCCTCCTGGCTTCCGTGCTGGAGAAAGCAGGAAGTCCGAGGACAAAAATGATGACCTCAGGTGACGCAGCTCAGACCCTTGGGTGCCTCGTAGAGGTCAGCGATGTTGTCAGAGCCCCCCCCCCCCACCGTTTATCTGTGTTCTTCAGCTGGGACATTTAGCCAGACCAAAATGTGACCTGTCACATTTGTCAAAAGAGAAACAGCTCCACTAAATAAAAAGGTAGTGTCTGGTTTGAAATAGAAAACAACTAAGACTAACCTAAATGTCCATCAATAGGGCATGGTCTACCCATTTGTTGGCCTGAATGGTGGAAAAGTATGCACCACTGAAAAAGAACTAGGCGGCCACGTATGCATGGATCTTGGATGGTCTCCAAACACAGTGTACAATGAACAACAGCAGCACAGACTAAGCAACGGGTAGCAGTGTCTACCTCAGCAGAGAGCAGGATGGCAGAGAGGGGCTGTGGGGACAGGGAGGAGGACAAGCTTCACCTTCATCATATGCCTTGTACAAATTGTATGTGGGTTGTGCTTATGGAAAAAAGTTTTATTTTGTTTTGTTTAAGAAACCTGACTGTGCCTGCTGAGGAACTTTTCTTCAACTTCCTACAACAGTCTCATGCCTTCATACACAACAGATCTGCTCAAAGCCCTGCACTTTCCCCGGTACACTGTTCAGACTTTTCTCTGGAGGCTGCCCATTGTAAATAGCAAAATCCCTCCCATTTGGACAGAATCTCACGAAGCTCTTCCAGGGCACGCGGGAAGCCAGGATTGGAATAGTGTGCACCGGCCATCAGAATCCCCTCTGCCCTGCAGCAGCCCTGAGAGCCCACCCTGCAGATGGAGTGGAAGCAGGGCCCACGGAGGGAGAGCAGTATGCTCAGTCACACAGCCCGCAAGCGGAAACCTCAGAGTCCAGACGCAATAGCTAAACTGGAGTTTGTTCTGCCCCGTGGGAGGGACACCCTATGCCAGACTGCCTCGCTTAATCTCGTTTAATCCTTTAACCAAGGGCATAACTGGCCCATCTCAAATGTCCAGCCCGACAAAAGCCCCACTGGGTACCAGGGAAGCAGAGTCCTGACGGGCCTGGAGGAGCGGCCGGCCTGTGGACTCCACCCACGGTGAGGGGCCAGGACACCGTATCCCTGGGATGATTCGCAGGCCGGTAAGGAAGCAAGCGCAGGACCAGACACCTACTCTCTGGACTGGCACAATTCTGTGCGTCCAGAGAGGGCATCGCTCCTTGAATGCACCGATTTACTACGGCCTGGCGACACTGAGAATCCTGCTGCAGCTCCTCTCCGCCCCCTTCTCCATCAGACACATTAACCAGGAAGCGACGCTGATGCACTCCAAACCTTCCCATGACAAACTCTTAAAACTTCTTAGTGTTTACTACCTGCCACGAAAAACACCAGCTACGACACCAATGTCAAAGGCGGGAAGGATGGGCACAGGCGGGATGGTGTGCGACAAAGACGAAGAAAGAACACTCAAGCACGAGTGGCACAGATGGGTTCCGGGGGTGCGGACCACTCAGAGGGCATGGATTTTAATTCTCAAGTGGAGACCGCAGCCTCTGGACACAGACCCAGCTCGGAACGCAACATGCAGTGGGTCTTGGTCAGCATTTGCTAAACAAATCCTCCCTTCCCCTCAAACACCAGCCTGAAGACAGAGGAGAATAAAGGTGGCTTCTCTCTTCTGCTCCCTGACAAATGCCCAGAAACATTTCAATCAAGCAGTGGACCAGTGCAAATTTTAAATCCAGCCTTGGAGAAGAGAGGAGAATATGGAAGGCTGGGGTCACTAACGCCCCAACTCTGGCTTGGTTCGTGTAGGAAGGACTTTGTGGGCCAGACCCACCATTCCGAGATACCCTGTGCGCATTTTGTAAAAGGTGCAATGAGAGGTCAGCAGCTTATTTGTGCTTCCAAGGTGCACAAGAAACAAAGCCCTCAGACAAAGCCCTCCACCGGCGGACAAACATGTCTAGCAGGTGATCAAATTCAGCAAGATGGATTCTGGGCTTGCAGAGCGCGAATGCTTATGCAAAACTCCTGGCGCTGGTGACAGCCCACAGCACAGTGACAGCCACCCAGGGCACAGGGAGGCCCAGGGAACTGGGAGCTGGGATGCAGAAAGGGGAATGAGGCACCACCTCCAGACCACAGCATGGGGAGCGCGGGGCGCCCCGCACCCCTCCCTCGTCAGCCTGGGAGCTTCCTCCTTTGTTCAGGAGCCTTGCTGAGCCCAAGTCTCCAAGCATCCACCTGGCCTGCTGTCCCCGCCGCGTGGGGCACCCGGTCGCTCCACAAGGATTTAATCAGTAACCAGCCCAGGAGACGAGGCTCAGAGGGCAAAGTTTACAGCCAGGCCTGAAGGGGCGTGGGTCCCCTTTGGGATCTCCCAAGGGGGAAGCAGAGAGGTCCAGATTCGGGTGCACCCTGCCCGAGCCGCCTGCCAAGGAGGACTGGAGGCCCCATATCCTTGCACCCCACCTGATGCAGCTGTGGTCCTGGAAGCCTGGCCTTCATCTCTCATGATCCAGTTAATTGGATCAGTGTAGACAGACTCTGCAGGCGCTTTGGGCAAAAGGGTGTATTTGGTTTGTTTACTGGTTTGAATCCAGATCAATCAGTGTGGGTCTTGTTCCTGCAGCCCACACAATTAACCGAATAATGACCGGACGGTTCTGGACCGGGCTTAGAACACAAGTGATACACGCTTCTCGGAAGGCTATGACCCCACAGGAAAGGGACTCATGTGTGGGCTGCTCGAGGCTGGGCCAGGGGCCACCGCAGCCCTGGGAGCAAAGGGCTCCCATTCACCTTGGTTTCACTTGGGCTGATAATTCCCAGTAGAGGGCCTGGGCCGCACTCTAAAATGCAGACCGATTACATAATGCCCAGGCCTCAGGGAAACCCCACAAGGCCCCTGTGCTTCCTTGAGAGCCTGGACACCAACCAGGTGTCTCACGACGGGACAAGATCCCGGGTGGCAACCCCACCCCTCCTCTGGCCCGGAGGCCACCGCTCCAGCAGGGCTGTCCACAGCAGCCCCACCTCCACACTCCCGGGCCCCAGGGATCAGGGGGCCAGGACCCCTTCGAGCCCCCCACAGAGCCAGGCGGAAGGCCACCCCTGCCCGCAGGCCTCGGTGACGACGCGCCGGGCAGGGACAGGGGTTGTGGCAGCCCATTGGACGCTTCCTGGTAGTTCCTCTTTCCACATTTCCTAATGCCAGAGCAAGGCTCCACCAAGACAAAACTCGCCCCACAGATGGGCCTCGCTCCTGGCACTGGAAATCACAGGTGCCCTTCCAAGAGCCCCATGTTGCCAAAGGTGCTGCCCACCTCAGCTGGCAACGGTGGGCAAGGGCCTGCTTAAGAATCTAGTACATGGCTTCTTTCCCCTTCTTCCTGTTTCTCAACACACTGGAGCAACCCGGGTAAGTGGGAGGCCTTTCGCCTCCGGAGTTGATCTCCCCCACTCCAGGAAGACAAGTAGCCCAGCAACACCCCTAGCTTCTCCCAGGGGTGCAGGGGTCGGCCCGCTCCATCCAACATAGGTCCTCTCAACCATTTTCCTCTCCCTCCAATCTTTCGAAGGTGGCAAGAAAAAAAGAACAAAGCCCAATAAAGCCCCTCCCCCTGCCAGGTGAAAATTCCAAAGCCAGAGGCAGAGGATCCACAGCCCGGGCAGGGAGGCGCCAGAGCCACCTCTGTGAATCCGAAATCCCAGGTGCTCGTAATTTGGGGGCACTCCCTCTCCATGGAATGAAAAGCCAAACGCCAAGCCCTGTGGCTCGAGGCGGGGCTTCGAACATCCACCAGTCTGGAAGCAGGACCGGGCACTCTCCATGGCCCGCAATCCTGCACAGAGAAGCGGCCTGCAGAGACTGCACCAGTGTGCCCACGGGAAAGAAAAAACAGGAGCTCCCTCTGAGCACGTCAGAGCCAAAATTCAGAACAAAAGTCCCCGTGGGCTTCAGAGCAGAGGAGCAGGACTCTTGGGCTGACTCTCCCCCTCCCCATTCCTTGGGGCATGTGTCATGGCCTGTGACACACTGCCAAGGGAACATGGATGCCAAAGAAATGTCTACACATGCTACACGTTTGTGACATGCCATGTAAGCGACACTGTTTCCTGGCTGGGCTTTCTTGGCACAGGTGTGGGCAGGCACTGGGTTCTGCCCCCTCCCACTGTGCTTAGTAAACAGTATCACAGGGCCTGGGGGGTGCATTCTAAGCAAGGCAGGAGGGAGGGCCCCCCCCCCCCTCCTAAGAGGATGGGTCCCACAGCCAGGCTCGCGCAGGCCGGAGCTGCATTTGAAACTGTCCTTGTTTCAAAACACAAAGCATCCTGTTCAGCCTCCTAGCCGCCACCCCCACTCTGCCCCGGAGCCCACCACAGCTGTCTCTCTCCGAGAGGAAGAAGGCCACCATTTGCAGATTCGGTTTCAGTGAGAGTTCAGCGGATCCTCCTCTCCATCTCATCCAGCGGACCCGGCCCCAGCCATACAGTGAAAAACAATAGCCCGAACCAAATAGGACCTCCAGGACAAAGCAGGCGTGTACACACAGGCTGCACACACCGGGCAGGACGGGGCTGGCCAACCCAGGTGCCACCCAGAACTTGGCCACCTTGGGTCTGAGATGTTCCAGGTCCGTGGTCCCTCGCCCCAGCCAGCCTCCCAATGTGCAAAAGAGATTTCAGAAAGGGAAGTACCCAGCTTTTGCCTACCAGACAGAAAGAGAAAGAATAAAGGTCCCTAAAGCAAAGAAAGGATTCGGTTTTGGGAAATTCTTTGGGTCTGGGGGTTTTGATGGGGGGTGGAGGGTATGCTGGTTTTCTTCTGCAGCTCAGGTCCAGGTGGGCCTCGGACATGCAGAGAGGGGACCCCCACGGCGATCGGGGCCCAGTTTTGGTCCACCCCACGGTCCCCACCATCAGAACGCAGGAGCTGGGAGCCGAGGGTCGACAGGCACCCAGCCCGGACGGACCAAGTCTCCGGGCTTCGGAGGCTCCCAAGCTCGGCACGAATCCGAGAGGCCAGAGTGCGACCCCAAGCCCCGAGCACGAACCAGGAGGGGGGCGCGCGGCTCCCCGCCGAGCAGGCCTGGCCCCGAGCGGCGCAGGGGGCGCCGGGTCCGGGCGGTGGGTGGGCGGGGGGTGGGGGCGCGCGTGGGAAGACTCCGGCCGCCGCGCAGAGCGACTCACCGTGGCTGACGCCAGGCTGTTGTCGGCCAGCGTTAGGTGGTGCGGCTCCCAGCGCCTCAGGAACTTCGAGGTGAGGATCTTGCTGAGAAAGGTCCGCGGGTGCCGGATGACACAGACCTGGATGTCGCCCTCCTGCAGCAGTTTGTACCTCATGCCGTTGCAGAGCAGGAGGGCCCGGCGGCAGGGCACGGCGCCCATCTTCGTGCCCTCGGGGGCCGGCACGTCGCCTCCCAGCAGCGGCTTAGTCTCCTCGATCTGCCGGGGGTCGCCGCCGCCGCCCGAGCTGCTGGTCACATCCATGGCCGCGCGCGCGCGCGGGGGGCGGGGGCCGGGGGCCGGGCGCGCGAGCGGGGCTGTCCGGTGCCCGATCCGGGGCCCGCACCCCCCCACCTCCCGGGAAGGGGGGGGGGGCGTGGGACGGGGGGGCGCCCGCGGGGAGGGGCGCGGCCGCGGGGGCGGGGGCGGCGACGGCGACGGCGACCGCGGCGGGCTTCCTGCGGGCGGCCGGCTTCCTCCTAGCGCGTCGGGTGCATGGTGGCGCGGGGCGGTCGGCGGGCGCGGGCGGCGCGAGGGGCCGGGGCGCGGGCGTGTCTCGGCCTCGCGCGGCGCGGTGCCACCGGTGCGTGTGTCCGCGTCCGTCCGCGAGCGCCTGCGGGCGGGGGCCGCGCGCCGCCGGGAGATTGCGGGAGCGCGCGCGCGATTGGTCCCCGCGGGGTCATGTGCCCGCCTCTCTGACGTCAATGGCGGCAACGGCGCCGCGGCTTCGGCCTCCCTCTCGCGGGCAGGCGGAGTCCGCGGCCGGCCGGCCGGGCGGGGACGGAGGCGGGCGCGGCCCGACGGGAGGGGCGGCCCCTGGGGAGGGGGCTGGGGCTGCGAGCCCCGGCAGGCCCGGTCCCGCCCGGAATGTGGGCGGGGGCGGGGGCGCGGCGGGGCGGGGCGACACTCGGGCCGCGCCCCCGCCCCCACCCCTGGGTGCCCAGGCGGGTGCGGAGCCGGCTGCGGGCCTCAGGCGATGGGGCGAGGAAGCGATCGGTGGGCCCTGCACCCCCGCGGGCCGCGCTGGGCTCGGAAGGGGAATCAATCACACGACTGCCGAGGTGTGACCAGGTGGCCGCCGGGGCGCTGGCCTGGGGGGTGGGGGGCGGCCACCCGCAGGCTGGCCAGATGGGACCCTAAGACAGCTTCCTGGAATTGCAGATGTGCCCTCGACTATCCGCTCTGCAGGCCTCGCCTCCCGGCTCTGACGATGTCCTCAAACCTTCTGGAAAGAGGGGACAGGCTCCCTGCCTCTCCTTTCTCCAGCCCTGGAGACAGAGCCCCTTGTAGGATCCCAGGTAACACAGCCCCCTCCCCGAGAGTGGTCGTTACCTGCTCCGCTGCCAGGGCTGTTCCCACATCTTCACCGAAGCTGGCCATGCATCCCTGTGTCCCCAGACCCCCACTGGCTCAAGAGAGGCACACAGCAGAAGGGCCACTGTGGAATGAACCACCCTCACCAACTCCAACTTGGAAGCAGAAACCTTCCCTTCCTGTCATCGCCAGCAGGCAGCACCTGAGGCCACCCAGCCAGCACTCAGCTCCTGGATCAGGCATTCCACCTTCAGGTGCTGCTGCAGTTAGTAGTCTTAAAGCCCCAGGATGTTTGCCTTCTGGTTAAGTGAGGTGCCTTTGTCGTAAACAGCCGTGTGTATGGTGTGTTGCATCATGAGGGCAACCCAGAAGTCCACAGAGCCCGGGTGGTGAGGTTGCGCCCAGCCAGGGCTGGAGACAGGTGGTGGAAGGCAGGTCGCACCCTGCGTCCTTCACCAAATAAGACTCACTCTGCACAATTTGCTGACATTTTCAAGTCCTGAACCTCAGCAGGCTGGGGCAATATCAGGGACGAAGGGATGTGTTAGCTTTGCTTCACTGCCACAAAATACCTGAGAAAGTCAACTTCTGTCGGCATTTACTTCCAGAGGTTTCAATCCATGGTGAGCAGGCTCCGTGGCTGGCAGGCCTGTGACAGCAGGAACATGGTGGTGGGAGGGCATAGCAGAGCAAGGCTGCTGAGCTCATGGCAACGAGGCAACAGAGAGAGCGGGAGCGAGAGCCAAAGGCTCTCCCCAAAGCCAGCCCTGGACCCACTCCTTCAGCGAGGCCCCACCTCCTGATGCAGATGTGGGAGTGGGGGATGGCCAGGCCCAAGAAACCGCCAGTCCATTGAGACTTAGGGTTAGGCTATTCGTTCAAGCCTTCATTGAGTGCTGGCTATATGCTGGTTGCAAGCCAGGCACTGGAGTATTAGCAGCAATTACTCTGACAGCCACAGTGCCCCAAGGTTTCCTACGAGCAAAGGATTTTGCATGCACATGTCATTTTTTTTCTTTTTGTCACAGAACCCTATGACATAGGTACTGCCATCACCCACTCTTGCAGATGGGGCATAGAGAGCTTAAATGCTCACCCAGACTCACTGAGCTGCTCAGGTTCAGGCCCAGTTCCCCTGACTCCAGAACCCGTGACTTTTACCACACAGCATGGATTTAAGGTCAAGGACACTCTGAAATCAGGGACCACACTATGTAAGGAGCCACAGGAACAGGAGGGCACCTAACCCCACTTGCAGAGGAGGTGGCATGGCTGCAGGGTACATGTTCCCACCCCAGGAGGTCTTTGGGAATCAGATAAAGAAGGAGGCAGGTGCTCCAGGGAAGGGGTCCCAAGGGGGCAGGAGGTGTGGCCTGTGCAGGAAGCCACTCATTTGCCACCTGGTGCCAAGTGCCCCCAGAAGGAAGAGCAGAGGCCTAGGAGGTGAGCTAGCAGTGCCCTGAAATTCAGGCCAGAGCAGTGAAGCACGACTACATGGACGTGCAGGGAGTGCACATGCCAGGGATGTGGCATCTTCAGGAGGTCACTGGCTGCAGAATGACACAGCCAAGGGCTGCAGAGGAGGAGGCCAGTGAGGAGCCTTCATGGCCACCTGGGAGGAAGGTGATGGGGACCAGCTCGAAGTCACCAAGTGGAACAGCAATGGTGGCAGCAGAATAGCTGCTGTCCACTCCAGGGACACCCATGAATCTCCCTCTACCCATGCGGATCCCAAACTCCAGCAGAATGCGGAGATCAACTAGCATGCAAAAGATCCATGATTTCTTCTAGGCCATTGCGGACTCCCCAGTACCCCTGGTCCAGGGATTCATCTGTCAACAGTAAGCAGTATCATGGTAGAGGCTAGTGAGCAGACCCAAAGGCCAGATACCGGGCTGGAGGCTGGATGTGCACATTCTCGTTTCTTTTTCCCAGCCAGTTCGGGAATTATCATGAGCCCCATGTCTAACTGTAGAGATCCAGCCAAGATTTGAACCAGAGATTCCATTTGACCTCAAATTCCAAGTATTTCCCACTCCTCTGCCAATTTTAGAAGATATTCAAAATGTCTTCTTTTATAATATTTTCCCAGGTAGGCACTCAGGAAGAAAGTATGGATAATCTCTAAATAATATTTCTTGACGTTAGTTTGAAAGCAGTGAAGTGGAGCCCCCAAAACACCGAAGAAGGAAAGCTCCTTGCAGGTAGAAGCAGGAGTGCTAAGTTAGTGTCTATACCTCGCCGGGACTCAACCAGTGTGACTGTGACTGACTCCAAGGTCGCAGAGTCCCTGGTGCTTAGGAAAGTGCTCATAAGTTGCTGCATGAGGCAGGCTGGTGCTGGTCCTCAGGCCGAGATGGTCAAGTCCCCGACCTAGACTGGACTCGGGAGTGGTTGCTGAGCCTGCTGCCTCCCTGTCCCAAGTCCCTGACTTAGAAATGAGGCTGAGGTCAGCCACGGGAGGCTGCTGTCCGAAAGCCCTGCCCAGCAGCTCCCTCGTGCCTAGAGGAGACACAAGCCCAGCAAGTTTCCTCGGGTGGGCCATGCACCCAAATTACCCTCGGTGTGCAGGAATGTGGCCCCACAGGGAACTTGACATTGGACTTGAGAGGCTTACAGCATGACGGGAGGCACAGATATTCACAAACCCCAGTGCATTACCTCCTTGGGTGAGGACACCCGGGTATCCTCCTCGCTGCTGTATCCAGGGGTGCACGCTAAATGTGTAACAGCCAGCTGGCTGCCCAAAGGAAAACCCTGATTTATAGCACTGACCATTTCCCTGGTGTAAACAGTCCTGGCTCGGCCCTAGGAAGAGCTATGGAAAGCCAGGAAGAGGCGCAGCCCACTCGGCAAACCGTAGCAGGGCGGCCAGACCCAGCCCCCAGAGTACAAAACCTAACGATGTCCACCCGCTGGCTCTTTCCCAGACGAAGTCTGGTGACCCTTTGAGAGAGATAAATAACATCGAGACCAGGGATTTCAACAAAGTGGAATATGATAATTAGGGAATGATGAGTTTTACGGCCGTCTTAAAAATAGAACCTGTTTAATTGTAACTTTATATAACTTACTCTTTTTCAAGGGGTGTTTGACAACCAGCTTTTGAAACTCCTGAAAAATTAACGGTCTGCTGTCAGGAGCCACTAAAGTTCGGCACCAGCCCGCTACGCCGTCCTGAAGAACACAGGCCATGGCCACACTCAGGATGGTTGGCTTTCTAACCACAGCGCCTATGTCTAACCACTGCACCACACTCCTCTGTTCATCCATTCATTCAGTTCCATTAACACCTGCTCATTAGCACCTCCTGGAGGGCCAGGGACTCTGTCAGGTTCTGTAGATCCCACCCACACAGGCTGTGGTCTTGGAGTTCATAGTTAAGTGAGCAAGCCACACCCCAAATCATCACCACCCCAAAGATGTAAATCAAATCCCCCCTCTTCCTTTACTCAGCTGTGCACTCTTGGCTGATTTACTGTGAAGTGGGGTCATAGAAATCCCATAAGGATCATGTCAAGCTCGTAGCATTTCCTGTAAGAGTCAGCCACTTCCGGCCTCTCCCCCATTTGCACAACACCTGTGGTGTGGACACGGAGATTCAGCGTCTCTGTGTGGCCACAGACAGGCTTTGACCCTGTGAACTACTAACCCACGGGGTGTGCTGCTTTGTGGCAGAGCTGTCCCTGGCCTCTACCTGCTGCATGCTAGTGGCATCCCCAAGTCACGAGTCACAGACGTCTCTAGACATCAACAAATGTCACCTGGGAGGCAAAGCTACTCCTGGCTTAGGAAGATGAGTCCCTTCCCTCCCGCCTGGTAGAGGCTGCTGCTGTGTCAGCCACCGATGCTCAGCCATCCTGTGGGTCACCAGCTGGGGGTGTCACTGTCCTGCCTTGTACTGTGGCAGCTTCCAGTTCAGATACCGGGCTGGGAGTAAACTTGGCACTGCCAAGTCTGAGACTGCAGGGAACCTGGGGCCGGGGATGCCGAGGAAGATCCAACCTATTGGAGCTGGTGTTTCAGAGCCTCTACTAGCTGGGGGGCTAGGTGATGGAATAAATGCCAGGTGCCTGGAGCAGGCAGCTAACTCTCTGTTGGGAAGTGGTCCCTATTTCCTAGCTGCCCACGGGGCTGCGGCTTGGAGGGAAGTCTCTGGAAGCCCCATCTGTGAACTGTCTTGAAATGACGTCAGTCAGGAGAGCATTCCCGAAGCCCAGCTCACAGGCATCCGACACCAGCATAACAGAACATACACTCTGTACCGATGGCATTCAATGTACTGATCGGATATAAAATGTGCTTATTTCTTCTCCCAGTGTCAAGAGAGGAGGCTGCTTTCTTCCCGGAGCCTGCAGACACCCTCCTCCCTCTCTCCCTGGGCTCCCTCCCTCTCCCCATCCCTGGGTTCCTGAGGCCCGGAGATAACTTCCTCTTTAGCAGCCTGTGACTGGGGCCCCTGAGCCACTCCACTGCTTTTCTCCCCACCTTCTCTGGCTTTGGGGGACAAAGAGGGGCAGCGCAGGAGCCTGAAGGGTCATCCTTTCTCCCTTCCCCTTTTACATCTGGGGTTGTTTTAAAAAAGCATTGGAGAGGACTAAACATTGTTTTTGAACTAACAGTTCTTACAGTCAGTGGATGGATGGATGGATGGATGGATTTACGGATTCCTACCAAAACCCTAAGAGTAGGTATATGCACTTTTCAGAGTGACTTTGGGCACAATGGATTTTGAGATTCATCCATGTAGGTACCTGTGTCATTGCTCCTTCGCATTGCTGGTGATTATATCCATTACATGGATGTAAGACTTCTAGGTAAATTGTTTTCAAGTTGCTTTGATCAGAAATAATACATGACATTGGGGTTCTTTATGAAGAACCCCAACCCCAGGCTGCTGTTGACCTGTGGAAGGAAAGGCCTGGCACAGCCACATGGACAGTGGAAGGCCACGGACCATATTTCTAAAAAATAAAAGATGCTGTGTTCTTCGGATTAATTGCATCTCTCTCCCACACCAGCTTTTGCAGTGAAGCTGCTCAAATTGACCAATTTACATGTGACCTCCTTTCTCGCCACCTCCATCCGCTCCCAGTCAGTTGCTAAGGAGCAATGAAAGGCAGGCGCGGGGTGGGGGTGCAGTGTGTAGTGCGTGCATGCTGCTCCCTGGATCCCACTCGAGCCACTCCGCCCAGCCCCTCCACGCCATCTTCAGAGGAGACAGGGAGGGAGGACAGTGCCACCCCATCTCTCAGACTGGGGAGCCCAGGGAAGCATTCATCCAGGTGGGACGTCAGTGCTGCAAGACAAACTCTGGACATAAATCCCAGCTCTCTCCCCACCCTCCTTAGCCAGTTAAGCTAACTCCATCTCTTTATCTGTCTGACCCTCGGCCTCTCGTCTGAACTGGAGATGGGACTGTGATGCTCACATTTAAGCCAATGAGATAATATTTTGGAGGGCTTAGGACCAGGCTTATGAAGAAATCAGGGCATCTTAACCCTGGTCTCTTTCTTTCTTCCAGGATAGCACAAAACTGGAACTGATCACAGCCCACTTGAACAGGAAGATGAAGAGAAGGCTGCTGACGGCTTCTAGGTGTCTCTCTTGGGATAGAAGCCGATCAGAGCAGTTTAATGGACGGCCAGACGTGGGTTAGAGGGAGGCCAGGGTGGCTTGTAGCCTCCCAGTGGCAAAAAGGGAGCCAGGCCCCAAAGGAGGCCAGAAACCAAAAACCCAGGGCTTTCTGAACTGTTTCAGAAAGTGGGAAGAATAATGGGATAAGTGTGTTCAAAGTGAGTATTTTGAGGACGGAGAAGGCAATGTCTTTTACTATAATAATTTTTTCCTCATTTAAACTTTCACTGTATTTTTTGATCACCCCTTGTATGTGTCTGGCCCTGGGGCTGCCAGGGGCAAACAGTCACCTCCTCTGGGTCCCCAGGTAAAGAGCCCGATGGGGTTGCTTATCTTCATCCAGCCAGGTGCCCAGGTCTTAGGTTCCCAGCCAGGCTAGAGGACAGGAAGCGCCCAGATCCTCAGGGAGGAGGTTCTTGGGTAACTATTAAACAGCAGGAACGAACCCTACACCCTTTGAGGGGCACAAGTCAGAAATCAAGGTGCCAGCAGGGGTGGCTCAATTCAGGAAGACCTGGTTCCAGGGCTCTGTTCGCTTAGGCACAGGGAAGACTGGAGTCCAGCAGGTGCCACTTCCCTCTTCCTCCCAATGCTCCAGTGCCGCTGGGCGACTTAGAGGGGTTAAATCCGAACAGCTCACAGTGGAGTGCTTAGTTCATGCAGTGTGGACAACAGAGACCCATGAACCAGGGCCAACCCCTGTACTCTCTTGGCTGTGTGATTCCACAACAGCAGGAGCTGGCAGGTGACCCAGTCGTGGGCCAGGGTCACAGGCAAGCAGTTCGTTTCTATATGGATCCAATTCTCTATTTTGTTTGGCTAAAAATATTTTTTATTATTGGTATATATTTGAGATACATGAAATTTGCATTTATTTTGGGGAACTGATGCATGTATATCATATCTTGGTCATTTCCCATCTATTTTCCCCCACTTTTCTATCTCACCCTCCCTCCCTTGGCTAAAAATTTTACTTGGAGGTTTTCCAGCCAAGTCTACCATGAGAGCTATATGTATTTCAGAAGCTCCAAGTCTGGATTAAGGTGGGAAGCTGACCCTCTCCATTTTATTGGCTATGACAGACATCACCAATCAATCACAGACTCAACCCTAAGATCACAGCCAGAAAGTAGGGCAGAGACAGGAATCTAGGATGCAGGATGGCATAATAGAGTTTTGTTTTTATTTGTTTTTTGGTACTGGGGATCGAACTCGGGTCCTTGCGCTTGCGCAGCAGGGGGCGAAACCACTGAGCCAAATCCCCGGCCCAATAGAGTTATTTTCTTAATTTCTTTCTTTCTTTCTTTCTTTTTCTTTTTCTTTCCTTCTTTCTTTTCTTTTTTCAGTACTGGGAATTGAATGCAAGGACTTCACATTTAACTGCATCTGTAGCTTGTTTAAAATTTTTTATTTTTCATTTCATTTTTTAATTTATTTGGTGTTTCAAGACAAGGTCTCACTCTACATTTTAGGCTGCTCTTAAACTCACTATATAGCCCAGTCTGGCCTCCTACTAGAAATCCTTCTCCCTCAGCCTCCCGAGGTCTAGGATTATCGGCACGTGCCACCACGCCTGGCTTTTAGGCAGCCTTTGTCAATTCTTATTCTCTATTTCTCACCTAAATCTTTCCGTGCCGCCATGTTTTGTCACATGGACAGACACACATGAGTCCCAGGAGACAGAGTGGCTCTTGTCATCTAGGTGTGGCCTGCCCCTCCGCCTGGACATCCTTCCTGCCTGGGCCTGGTCACCACTCCTGTCTTAGGGACACAGCCCATCTTTCATAGCACCATGGGTTCATCCCCACAAGCTTAGGGCCCGAGAGTCCCCTTCCTGCTCATTCCTGATCTACACTGCCTCTTGGGTCATCGTGTTCGCCGCAGGGGGACCTATTGCGCCTTGCCTCCCGCCCTGTCCCACAGCCCCTGTCATGTTGCGTGAGTGTTACTGAAGTAAGTAATTAGCTCATTCCTGGGGGTCATTCTAAACATTTCAATACAAGCGGCAAAACAACAACAAAGGTTTTGTTTTTTGTTTTTCCTATACAAAGCATCATTTCCTTAAGAGGAATTTCTGGAAGTGAGATAATTCATTGCTGGATTTGGGGCAGGGGGGAATAAAGATAATGGTAGGCTGAGGCAGGAGGACTATAAGTTCAAGCCCAGCCTGGGCTACTTAGCAAGAACGTGGCTCAAAATTTAAAAAAAAAAAAAAAAATTAGAAAGGACGGGGGTGCAGCTCAGTGTGAACCCTCACTACTGAAAACGGCAGACGGGGCACCATCCGCTGAACAGGCACGCACTGGGTGAGGGAAGCCCTGGCGGCTGGTGCGGACGTTGTGCCCCAGGATGCGTCCACCCCTTCTGAGGGTGCGGCCTTGGTCGGACAGGGTCTGGGGAGAAATTAAGGATCTCAAGGTGAGACCGTGCTGGGTTCCCTGACTATTGTGTCCCCCAAGAGCCCCCGTTAGGGGCTTGGCGAGTGGGTGGGTGGGGCAACCTTCCTGGGCGTGGCTCGGGACCAGGGCTCTGTCTCCTCCTCCTCCTTCCTATCCTGGCCTCCAGGGAAGAGGTTTGCTTGCTGCACCAGCCCATCTCCCGCAGGCCCCAAAAGAGAACGTCATGGACTTGACCTCTGAACCGGAGCTAAAAGGAAACTTTTCCTTTTTCTATTTAGTTGTTGTTGTTTTTGGTATCGGGGATTGAACTCAGGTCCTTGCGCTTGCGCAGCAGGCGGCGAAACCACTGAGCTAAATCCCTGGCCTTGGAATCTTTTCCTTTTGAAGGCAGGTCTCTTAGGCGTTCTGCCTCAGTGACAGAGGAAGCCACTCAGGTGCACGGGGCCAGTGAGCCCCAGAGAGGTTGCTGGAGCTTGAGCCCGAGAGGAAAGCAGAGCGTGAAGGGGCAGGCCGAGGCAGCTGCCCTCAATCCTGGGGAGGTAAATTAGAAACATCTCCTGTATCACACAAAGACCCAAGTGGTTTTGAGTTAAGCTTGGCATGGTGGGGCACACCTATAATCCCAGCACCCTGGAAGGCTGAGGCAGGTGGATCCCAACTTCGAGCCCAGCTGGACAACTTAGTGAGAACCTGTCTCAAATGAAAAAGAAAAGGAAGGCTAGGAATGCAGCTCAAGGTGAAGGTCTTGGGTTTGATCCTCATTATCAAAAAAAAATAAGGCAATATTTCCATAACCATGTTGTAAGAAAGGATATCTTAAACACGGAGAGCTGGAAGCATTCACTACATTAATTATAAAACCTCTTGGGCCGGGGATTTAGCTCATTGGTTCCGCTGCCTGCCTCGAAAGCACAAGGTCCCGAGTTCGATCCTCTGTACATCAAAGGAAGGTTCCTACCAACAGGCACACAGACGGCTGTGGACCGGGAGAAAACTCCTACAGCATAAGTCCATATCCAGGATTCACAAAGAATTCCTGCAAATTCCTGCAAAAGATCAGCTCTGACTCTGACTGCAAAATGGGCAAAGAAATGAAGAGGGAAGTTCTGAAGAGGCAGAAGCCATAATGTAGCAAAAGATTCTCGAGCTCACTAACCAAATCTGCATGCCACTGCATGGTCGGAAGTTGGCAGACAGTGAAAGCAGGCGACACAGCCAGCACGCTGGAGGCAAGGAGAAGCCGGAGGCCTGGACCCCGCAGGAGTGCACGTCGGCACCAGCAGGTCGGAAAGCGTTTGCCTCGAAGATCCACATGCTGAAGCCTCAACTTCCAGTCCTTCTGATGCAACTGCATTTGGGTCTGGAGCCTTGAGGAGGGAAAATGAGGTCCCAGGAGGGGTCCTAGTCCAACAGGATGTTCATCCTTCTAAGAAGAGATGAAGACACAGGCGCTGCCAGTGAGCGGAGCCGAGGAGAACCCGAGCCTGGCACTTCCAGCCTCCAAACTGTGGGCAAAGAAAGGTCTGGTGTGTACACCACCAGCCCGTTGTGTTTTATTATGGCAGAGCTAGCAACATGCCCAGTTGCTAAGCTGGTAAGTTTGTCTTAGTTACTTTTCTTGTTGCTGAGAAAAAAAGCCCAAAACTCACAAGTTAAGGGAGAAAGGTTGGTTTTGGCTCACAGTTTAGAGACGTTCAGTCCACAGTTGGCCAGCTTCAAGGCAGGGTAGCACTGCAGAAGGTCCTGGCAGAGGAGAGCTGCTCAGGGCATGGTGGACAGGAAGTAGAGTCAACAGAGGAGCTGGGGAGGGGGATCAACCTTCCAGGTCACAGCCACCTCTTACAACCGGACCCGCTTCCTAACAGTGAGTCAGCTATGGCAGGCATAACCCAGCCACCTTCCAAAGGTCCTGCCTGTATCATATGATACAGGCATGGGGACACCTAGGGGACACCTGCATATAAACCGTCACATCTGCCCTGTGCAGCTCCTCTCGAAGCAATGACCTCAGGCCCTTGCCACTCCAAGTGCGCCCCTGAGCGGAGTCCCAGCATCACCTGAGGTTTGCCAGGAGTCAGAACCTCCGCCCTCCCTGGGTCTTCCGAAGCAGAACCTGCGTTTTAACTTGACTTTCAGCTAGTGGTTCTCTCCAAAGCCCAGTGCACATGGCTCACTCAAGAGCTTGGACAAATGCAGATTCCAGCTGGGAATGCCGGGGTGTTGGAGACCAGGTGTAGCCCAGGCTGCACCCCCATACCCGGGCCTCCCCTACCCCATTAAATCAGTCCTCTGGGTGGCACCTGGGCATGGGCATTTTTGAAAGCGTCTCAGGGACTCTGAACCGTCTAAATGGAGAAATACTATCCCACGGTGTCTCGTCTCTGGGGTGCCCCTAAAGCAACCAGGGGCACAGGCACCTTGAGGAGAAGAGGACATCACCTCTGGTTTTGCCAAATCCTCCGCTGGGTCTGATCCCAGCTTCCCCTGAAGCTTAGAGCGATGTTCTCAGAACTGCATGAGCCCCAGAACTCCAGGTCAGAACTTTGAGAACCAGGGGCTGCGTGTGCCTGTGCCCTCCCACCCTGCCCTCCACTGATTTCAAACTCTGGCCCTGGAACCGTGGGACAACGATGCTTTGTCGCTTAGGCCTCTTGGCTTCCAGTAGTCTGTTATGTCAACCCTGGGACACTAAGACAGCTGTGAGGGAGGACTGGTAATTCCTTGTAGGACACCACCCAGTGCAGTAATCTTTGGGAAAGAAAGTGATCAACAAATGCAAGTTGCAAGTTGGGCTCAGAGGTGCACACCTGTAATCCCAGCTATTCAAGAGGCTGAGGCAGGAGGATCACAGATTTGAGCCTAGCCTGGGCAATTTAGCAAGGCCCTGTCTCAAAATAAATTTTAAAAAGGGCTGGGGCCTAGAGCATTTGCCTAGTATGCGTGAGACCCTGGGTGCAGCTAGCAAATGAAGGGAGGGAGGGAGGGAAAGGAATTCAGTCAACCAATAATTCACTGCCTCCTGGGTAGGGGCAGGGCTGGGCCCCAACACACAGCTCTAGCCAAGGGTCTGGTTCACAATGCTTCGTAATTCACAGCCTGCTCTGGGCAGACACACCTCCTTCCCCGCTGTGAGCATTTCTCCACACGCAAGGTGACTTGCATGTACACAAACTTCAAAAAGAACAACCCGACACAGCGATGTTCTCTCCATATTTCTTTTCATGAAGAAACAGAAAATCCAGATCCATCTCTCTTGTTGTGTTCACAGAAAAGAACAAAAATATACTAAGAAAGAAGCCAGCAGCCAGACAACACACACCCAGTTTCCAGTGAAAAAGTCACACCAATCTCCTGGAGCCCAGAAATAAACCGACAGCAGCCGGGAAGAACTGAGAGAGGCAGCGCACTCGGGGCAATGGCAGCCTCCCTGCGCCCACACACCAGGCAGAGGCTGGGGTGTGTCAGGGGCTGGGGGTCCTCTGGAGTCCCCCGAGTCGTGTACACTGGGGCCAGGAGCCCAAAGCACAAGCAGGGGACCGGCTGAGCTCAAACTTGGGATCCTCCTGCCTCAGCCTCCCAGAGGACTGGGAGCACCAGTGTGCTCCGCCACGCCCACCCAGTTGCGGGTCTTTTAAAAGGCTGAGCACCGTATCCAGTTTGCCTGGGCCTTGGAAGCCCGAGTGACTCCCTGAACTCCAGAAACTGGGGTCCCTGGGCCAGCTGGAGGTAAGGATTCGGGGTAAGAGGAGGTGGCTGGGCCCCAGCCAAGCTGCTGAGCCAGCGTCCACAGACAGCAGGTGCTGTCCACAGACAGCAGGCTGGCGGGTTGGGACTATGGGAAAGCAAATGACTTCTGATCAGAGGAGCGGAGCGGGGCCCCACCCAGAGGAGTCAGGCCTGGCCCTGGAGTTCTGGCATAAAAGCAACTGGGCTTTAACGTTGCAAAGTTGCTCAGAGTCTGGCTTGGAAATCTATTGTTTCCCATTTTTTTAATGTGAAGCTATCAGAAAGAGAATGTTCTCGGCAGCATTATCAGGGAGAGAAAATAAAGCCGAGAGCCCACGGAGGCCATGGGCAGGCTGTCTGATGGTTTTGTGTGTCCTGTCCAGTGGCCAGGGTGGCATACTGTGTCACAGCTGGGCAATTTGCACTTGGCCAGCGCTCAGGACAGAAATGGATCCAAGGGACAGGAGAAAACGGACGCGTCCTTCCACTGCAACTCTGAGATCCCGGCTGGTGTCTTCCTGGAGGGGCTGCCTAAGAACCGTGAGGGCCGAGCAGCCCAGAGCAAGCCTTCCTTTACGTAGATGTAGGTGACTCTGCCTCCATCCCCTGTGAACCTGCCCTTCCCACAGCCTGGATTCTCCGGCTCCGCCCCAGGAACCTGGGCCGGCTGTACTCCTCCTGGGCTGGATGCCACCAGAAAACCGCGCACAGCGGCAAGTGACCGATTTCTCCTTCATGTCTTGGACAAGGTCCAGCTCCCACATACGATCTTATGGTGAATGATCATCCTTTTAGTCCTCATTATATTTCAGTTAGGGCACCATATTGATGTTTCTTTTTTTCCTTTTTGGGGGGACAGAGTCTTGCTGTGTAGCCCAGGCTGGCCTTGAGCTTGCAGCAATTCTCCTGCCTCAGCCTCCCAAGGGCAGAATTACAGGTGCACACTGCCATGTCCGGCTGATACTGATGTTTGAGCCTGAGCACCAGGGACCAGGGGACAGCTCAGCAACAGACCAGCCAGGGCAGAATGGAAAAACCAATGAGCCCAGAAGCAGAGGCAGAGGTCACATCCGTGAGAAACTCAGGAGCTGATGTGCAGGCCTGCAATCCCAGCTAATCCTAAGGCTGAGGCAGGAGGGTCACATGTTCATGGTCAGCCTGAGGAACTTAGTGGCTTAGTGAGACCCTGTCTCAGAATACAAACCTCCAAAGGGCTGGGGATGCAGCTCA